TTATGCTAACAATTCAAATTATCGAAATGATAGTCTAATAAGAAAAGAAAGTAAGTAAATCTACGTCTTGATCTTCAGAATTTAAATTAGTTATATTCACAAATTTAGTTTAATGTCCGGAGTTTATTAATCTTCTGTTTTTTTCTTGAGATATTGATTAGTATACATTAGTCCCTTAATGATGAGAATTAAAATAAGTTATTCAGAAGAGTGAAATTATGAAGTAGGTATTTTAATATTAGTAAGTCTTCATATTAGAAACTCTTATTGCTTATCTTCTAACTTTTATATCAAGTGTAGCAATTTCATCTTTTTTTATTAGAAAAAATTTTTTGTATTCAAATACTTCATTATTGTTTGAGTCGGTTTTGTTAAAAAAAAATTGCGAATTGTAAATCCATAAAGAAGACATTGAAGCACTTAATGTTGCCAAAGTTGCATTTATTTGTTAAAGTGTTGCCGAAGGATTTATTGGATAGTCATCTTTTTTTGCTATAATAAATAAAACAAGGATGGTCTACTTAAATAATGATTACTATCATTATTTTGATCAAATGCAATAATTAAGCATTAACTCAAAACACATTGAGGGAGTTTCTTGAAGATGTCCTTAGTTTTATTATTTATAATACATAAAAAGATGAAAATCCAAAGCCTTTATTAATATATAATTATTTTTGATCAAATAACAATCTGAATTACATATACTTTCTGTCACAAATATTCATATAAAATTTATTAGTGAAAAAAAATTTTTAAGCACTATACTAAAAATTGAAACTATTTATATTTTATATATTTGAATAATATTATTTTAAAATGTTTCTACTTTATATATATAGACCCAATAAGCAATAGTTAAATTTTATACTTCCTCAGATTAGAATATACTAAAATGCTCACTATTTCTTTTTAAAAACAAAACCTGATTAACCAAGTCTGGAGATAGTTGAGTACACTTTGCAGAGATGTAATTACCCGCATCTGAGAACAATCTCTCGTTGGGTACCGATGTGGCAGGAATTGATAGATATTTTAGTGCAAGTCGTGACAAAACTGAAAACTCATTTTTGTTTGCATTCCACCACTTTAAAGAATCCTGATCAACATCTATCTGCCGATATCTAATATAACGTGTGATTTCATCCTCCTCAGCTGAAAATGAACTGCCTAATTCTTTACATTCTAATGCTTGAAAAAAATCATTATTATCATCTGCACAATCATGAGTAGGTGTTGTTCGTTAAGCTGATTGAGAATAATTTTCTCCAGTTTGAGAATCTTTTGCAGAATCGTATTGAATTTGCAATAATTTAAGTGATGTTTCTTTTTTTTTACCCATATTATCCTATTTAAAATCTTTAAATCAAGGATCAAGTATTGCAGCAATTTGAACCACTCCGATTGTGCTGACCACAACTCATCAAGTGATAAGAAAATAGCTGCCCGAACTTTTTTAAGAAGACCAGTAGTATTGGCAGCTAGTAAATATTCAACATTATTGAAATCATCTATATCCTTTTCAGAATTTTCTTTTCTGGTATTTTTTTTATATCTATAGGAACTATTTACCTTTTTTTCTTCCTTTTCTTTTAGTTAACTGCATTTTTTGTCTAAATTGGCGATGAGTATATTGCCAATATCGACATAAACCACTAGATGGAATTTTATCTCCTTCACTTGTTGAACTATCTGAGTCTTTTATTTCTTCATTATCACTTTCACTTTGTGTCTATATATCAAATTAAGGTATATATTATAAGTTTCTCCACTTTCATAGTTAGGTTCAAATAATTTTTTTAATAATTCTATATAAGGATAAACAAGACTTAAAGTACAGTATTTTGCTTCACATATTCAACATGTTATTTTTTCAAATGGTGATAAAAGTTTGACCACATCTTGAAGAAATCTTTAAAAAAAATAAATTAATAAAAATAAATTAAATTAAAATTAGATAATTAACAATAAGATTAATATATAAATTATTTTATTTAGAGACTTGTGTGATCTATAAAATATATATTTATATAACTTTTATTATGATACTTTACAATACCTATGTGATTAGCAATCAATTACATATATAATGATCGAATATTATAATCTAATTAATATGTAATTCATATCATATGACCACAATTTAATTAAAAGTTTAAAATATTAATATATGAGCGATAAGAAAGTCTGTAATAATCAATGATGCAAATATGTATTAGTAATTAATATATTTAAGGTATTGATTCTAAAGAGGAAATACCATAATTTTGGTTCCCAATATTTCTTTGAATAAACTATTTTACCTGTGTGAACAGTTATTGTAGTATTTGGTATGATACTTCAGTTATTATTTAATAGCCAAGTGAGTTAAAGACTGATAGTAAAGGTCTACGAATACATGGTAGTTTGGGTAACTCCATAATACTTAGCTTAAAAATTTTTTAATTTTATTTAGTTCACACATGTCTCTACTTTAAACTTACTGTTTTTCTTCAAAAGATAAACATAGTTGCTCAAGTTTTTTTTCTTCTTGCTGTGACTTTCGATCAGATTTTGCTAGCAATGTAGTAGAAATAGATCGCATTGAATTATATAAGTCTAAAATTCTTTTCCACACATAATATACAGAATTCCATCTAGTCTTAATATCAATTAAGACTTTGAGTGGATTATGATAGTTATTTTCTGATAAATATTCATGCTCTTTTTGAGCTTCACGAAGTCTCTGAGCCTGTTTTGGCAAACGAAAAAAAGCCTGTAAACACTTTACTCGACGATGAATTTGTTTGCATCGTTTTAAACCTTGTAAAACTGAAAGTTGCAATATGTGTGCAACACAAGGCTGCCATCTAACTTGTGATAAAAATTCTTCATTTAACGCTTGAACACTTTTTATCATATTCGAACCATTATCAGTTACAATGGTTAATATTTGATTTGACAAATTCCAGCTATCTATAATCTGAAATAGTTCAGCACTAATAACTTCACCAGAGTGTGGATATGGAAAATGATTGCAGGATAAGAGTGCTTTATGAAATTCAAAATCTGATGTTAATCACATTGCTGTTATACCAAGATAACTATGTCGTGATTTGGTGGTCCACAAATCAGTTGTTAAATGAATAACAACAACATTACTATTTAAAAGTAAATGAAGCTGTTTTTTACTCCATAAAAA